CCCAGCTCCCCCTGCCCTGCCTGCCCCCACACCTCTTCCCTTCCCCCCAACCCCGTGCTGACCGCATGCCCCCCGCAGCCCAGACCAGGCGCTGAGCACGCTAGCCATGCGCAAGTTCTGCGAGGACAAGGTGTCCGCAGCCCTGCAGCCCTCACAGAGGAGGTGAGTGGAGGGCATCAGGAGGTGGGAGGGCGTTGGGGCTCCCCTGGCTGCTGGCTGAGCTCTGCCCCCCCCAGGTACATCAACTACTTCAGCGGGCTGCTCTCGGGCGCCATCAAGATGAACAGCCACACGCTGTTCCTGCACCACGTCCGCGTGCCCGCCCTGCCCGCCTTCGAGGCCCGTGGAGGTGAGCAGCACAGGCCCGGGCTCGTGCACAGTGGTGGAGAGGGAAGGGGGGGCATCATGGCCGCCCTCGTGACCACACAAGTGGCAGCCCACTGTCACAGGCCAGATGGACATGCTCCCACGTCCGGGCAAAGTGTGCACACACAGCCCCAACCCCTCGCGGGAGCCACCGGCACGCATGTGCGGGCACATACTGGTGTACACCCATGCACACGTGCACACGCATGCTTTCCGGGGGGGTGTGGTCCTGTGCATGGAGAAGAGTCTGGGCACACATCCATGTGTACACGTGCATGTTCACACAGACCCCACCCCTCCACACATGCACGCATGCTTTCCTGGGCGACATGTGCACACAGAGGAGAAGCTGCATGTGCCTGCACACCCATATGCACACATGTGCTACCCCCTGGGAGGGCAGACCCATGTGTTGCCCCCCCCCAGCTGTGCTTTTTGCCCCCCTGACCCCTGACCCCACTCCCCCCAGGATACCAGCCCTTCCTGAAGATCTACCAGTCCATGCAGCTTGAGCGGCTGACTCTAGGGTGCTCCCAGGCCATGCTCCCCCAGCTCCGAGCCAGCCCCTGCCTCTCTGCCTCTGCAGTAGCCTGACTGGCCCTGGCACCCAGAAGCTCTGCATCACCTTGGAGCCAGCCCTGCTGCTGAAAGGGGACGTGATGGTGAGCACAGTGAGCACGTGTGCAAATGGGTGTACAAGGAGGGGGCACATGGATGCTTTTGTGGCTGCGTGTGCATGGGGTGGAGCCAGGCATCTGTATGTGGGTTTGCATGTACACACATGCAAATCAATGTGCAAGGAGTAGGCAGGCACAAGGGAGGGCGCACAGAGCCCCCTGTGCGCACCCAGCTCGTTGTGGCATGTGGGCATGGCTTTGAACATGGGCTTGCACATGTGTGGGTGGGCACAGGGGAGGGTGCAGAGATGCTCCCACACCTGCGTGCGCCTGTGGGGGCCGCGTACACGCCTGATGCCCTTCTCCCCACGCAGGTGAAGTGCTACCACAGGCAGAGCCACGGGGCTGAGCGGGACGTGGTTTTCCGGGTGCAGTTCCACACCTGCACCGTCCACGGCTCCCAGCTCTGGTTCAGCAAGGACGAGCTCGACGAGGCCTGGACAGGTGAGATGGGGGCTGGAGGACAGCCCCAGCTGGGGGCAGAGCATGCCCGCAAACATGGGCTCTTGATGGTGCTCCTGGCAATGGCCCCTTGTGCCAGCTGCCTGCCCTCATGCAAGCGCCCTTGTCCCTCACGCCAGCCCTGTGCAAGCTGCATGCCCCTGTGCAAACCTTGTATCCCTTTTTACTAGCCGCTGCACGAGTTGCATACCCCCATGCCAACCCCCTTGCCCACTCATGCCAGGCCCGTGTGAGCTATGCTCCCCAATGCAAACCTTGTACCCGTTGTGCCAGCCATGTGAACTGTATGCCCCTTGTGCAAACCCCTGTGCCCACTTGTGCCAGCCCTGTGCAAGCTGCATGACCCCGTGCAAACCTTGTATCCCCTTTTACCAGCCCCTGCATGTCCCCATGCCAACCCGTGTGAGCTGTATGCCCCTTTGTCCAAGCCATGCACCCCTGCAGCCACTCCTTGCGCCCACCCTCTCCAAGCCCTCGTGCAATTCAGCCCTGAGCTAGTACCAGCCCTTCTTTGTCACCCTGCAGACGAGCGGTTCCCCTTCGAGGCCAGCGTGGAGTTCATCTTCTCCTCGGGCCCCGAGAAGATCAAAGGTGAGGGCCTGGGTGTGGGGTGGGGGGCTGGGGAGGGGTGGGCTCCCCCAGGCGCCCAGGCCGTGACAGTGCTGACCTGACCTTTCTATCGCAGGCTGGGAGGCAGTGGGCAACGGCCCCGGCGTCAGCGTAGACTACAACATCAGTGAACCAGCCGTGCGCTGGGACTCGTACGAGAGCTTCAACGTGCACCACGAGGACAGCCTGGAAGGTGGGGCTGCAGGCGGGCACAAGGGCACGGGGCAACACCCCCCCCGGGCTGCTGGTGGGGGACAAGGGGTTTGCAGCCTCTGGCACCCCCTGGTAGGACTGGAGCAGGCAGCATGCGTGTGTGTGCATGCATGCTTGTGTGCTGGCATGTGTGTACCTGCACACGAGTGTGTGTGTGTGGTTGTTCATGTGCATACACATGCATCAGTGTGTATGCACACTGCCTGGCACACAAGTGTGTGTGTAATGTGTGGCTGCTTGCACTTGGGTGTGTTCACATGTGCTGTGGCCCCACACCTGCTCTGACCCCTGCCCTCCCTGCAGACCTGTCGCACACGCAAGGGCCCCTGGACGGCAGCCTGTACGCACGGGTACAGAAGAAGCGGAGCCTGCCAGGTCCCGTGGGCAGTGCCAGCCCTGAGTCACCCCCACTGGCACGTGGCCTCCTGTCCGTGAGCAGCGACTCGGGCCACTCATCCATGTTGACGGAGCGGGCAGACGAGGCCACGCCACCCGCCCGCGCCCTGCCAACACCCGCTGAGCGTGAGGAGCTTGACCGCCTCCTGGACGGCTTCGGCGTGCCGTCCCCCCGGGCTGAGCCGGATTGTCTCCCCGGCAATGGTGCCCGGACCCGGGAAACAGCCATCTTGGATGACGAGGCCACGCCGGGGCCCTACCCCATGCGGCGCCGTGGCCTGGCTCGCCACTGCTCCTGCCACGCCGGCTACCTGGGCACTGCCAGCCCCGAGAGGCCACCCACCAGCATCGGCTACAGGCCCGAGGGCACCCTGGAGCGCCGGCGTCCAGCTTACAGCGCCAACGGGCTCCCCCTGCGCCCCGACGGCTTTGAGCTGCCCCAGGTGGGTGACTGCATACCGGGAGCTGCTGCTGGCCGGGGAGCCCCCAGACGTGGCTCCGCTGTGCCCCTGCCAGGACTGCCAGGGCAAGGGAGCCCCTCCCGGCGCCCGCTACGGCCTGCGCCTGGAGCGAGAGCCCGAGGGCTGGGTGCCCCGCCCTCCCCTGGCCCTGCCCCTGCTCCTGCCCTACACCCGCGGGCACCCCGAAGCCTTCGAGCTCGAGCCCCCTCATGCCAAGGGGCCCGGCGGGCACTTCACCCGTGCCTACGAGCCCCCGGAGCACTGCCGTTACCCCCGCTATGCCTCCGCCTACCCACCGATGTTGCCCCCTGGGTCCTGCCCCTGCTGCAGCCCCCGGGTCGCCCCCCGCCTCTGCTACAGCCCTGAGTGCCACATGCACCCCCAGCCTGGCTCAGCCTCCCCCGACGGCACCCACGGCTACGAGCCCCCGGGCATGGAGCCCGGCGATGGATACCTGCGACCTGGCTCCATGCACCCTGGTGAGCCCTGGGGTGCAGGGTTGGCATGGGGGGGCAACGGGCATGGAGCGAGTCTGGGGGGGTCTGACTGGTTTGCTATCATCTCCCCCCAGAGCTGCCACCACCCGGCGAGGGGGCACCTTGGAGAGATGTCCCCGATGGCCCAGGCTCCTTGCGGCGTCCTCCGCGGGAGCCCTGCAGCCCCTGCCTGGCCCCTCCCAGCCTGCCGGAGCCACCTGCCCCCCTGCACACCAGCAGCCCCGTGCAGAGCCAGGACAGGTATGTGCAGCACCGGGCATGGGACCAGTGACCCACACCCCCGGGCCTGGGCTAGCAAGCAGCTAGCATCCCGGGGAGCACCAGGCAGCACTGAGGTGCCCCCTCCGTGTGTCCACAGCACCACGTACGGCACCCCGGAGAGCCCGGTGCCCCCCAGCCCTGCGGATATGGCCCCATCCAGCGCCACCAGGACCCTGGAAAGGCCTCCAGCTTCTTCAGCAGGGGCATCTGGCCT